CACCACAGAGACAAGGTATCGCACCCTCACCCGGCTCATCCATCTCGTCCCCCTCTTCCTTGTCCAGATAGTCAAACGTCAGTTCCTCGCCCTTGGGAATGAACCTACGGGCAAAGAACGCAATATCGTAAACCCTCGGATCATGCTTGTTGTACGAGACGGTATACTGCCGGCAGTTGGGATCACATGAGTGGTTGATGAACTTGGTTGGTCCACCCATGAATTCGCCGTCTACGACATAGAGATCTTTTTCGTCCAGGCCCTCTGACTCAGCAAATTTGTCGAGAGAGTACAGATAGGACATTTTTGCTTTTGAGGAAGAAGTCTCACGACGTGTAGCTTCGGCGTCGGTGATGACTTCTCCGCGGTAGGTATCGATGAATTGGCCTTCGTGAAGATCTTCCTGTAATAGTGGGTTCAACGTTAGTGGATGTCTCGCGAATACTGGTCTTTTTTTTTTTCAAAACTTACTTTGCAGCGTAGTCCCCAGCCACGCCCGTCATTCGCTCTGAAGATCTCGACTTCCACTTGACGACCGAATTGCACGTTCTTGTTACGGCAGTAGGGACCACATCTGCATTTTTCGTTGCACTCGTAGATTGGTCGACGGGAGTTCAGGTAAAAGGGCACGAGACAGCCGGTCTTCTCTCGTTTAGTGCCTTCAGCAAAGTATGGAAACTTCTTGGGGAACCCCATGGTAGACGCTCCAGTGTCGAGAGCTTCTTGATATTCCCGCTTGCCTTCATCGTCAAGGCGGCTCTCATCGACTGCAGCATACTCGAGACAGTCGCATTTCTTTGTGTACTCGCATCCAATTTCGCGGCCCATGTGTGGTGAGCATTGCATGCAGCCTTGTTGCGTTTCAGTAGATGCGCGGTAGACGCCTTGTTGCAGCACGTAATCGGAAATGTATCGAAATCGCAAGGATGGAGTGGCTTTGTCAACCACATTGAACAAGTGGATGCGTTTGCCCGGTAGTTTCTCCAGTCTACGTACATACTCGTTGCGGATCAAGGTTTGTGCTTTGTCCACACTGGCATGATGTGCAGACCGGTTCATCTCCAGTGTGGGGATATCACGGATCTCAAGTTCCGGTATACCTTGACCTGATGCCTGTGTTGCATATTAGTGGTGAGAAAAGGCAATCTGCTGGAAGACTCACTTTACGACAAAAGATGTGGCCATATTCATCGGCATCTAGAACACCGTTGTAGACGTCTATGGTTGGAGATGTAGATGTATCGACACAAGGTAAAGATGGTGACCGAGACGCTGACGGCGTCCGGCGTTCTTGAAGTCGTCGGTCAAAAGGTGATGAGCGACGGTCATGTTCCGATTCCTCGTTAGGGCTCTTCCTTTTTCTGGATGTTTTTGTCTGCTGAATCAATGTCGTATTCCTTGAAGTAATTAGCAACAAGCTATGGTGATGGGGAGATGTAGCTCACTTTTCCCTCTCTTCCAGGTAATCTTGAATGTGTTCTAAGCAGCGCACTAGCTCCTTCACCGAATGCCAGCTGAAAGGTGGCTTCGTAGTCGATGTTTCCGATTTCCATCGTACTAGGTATTGCTCATCCTGGATCTTGATATCAGCACGGAGCACGGGCCATACAGGGTGAAGGAGTACCAACGCCGTTTTCAGAGCAATTCGCGACCACAGAGTGCACCTAGAGACAACGTAAGTGTTACTGCGTGCAAGTTTAGTGCTTTAGGAAGCACTTACGCGGTCTACGCGAACACGGCGCCTCGCGTGTCCGTTTGTTGGAATTACGACCATAGCCGGCATCCCTAAACCCGCAACTGCATCGCGTTAGCTTTACTAACAGTCTAGTTAAGATTCTTTAAAGTATTTCTAGCAAATAATTTCAAGCATAGATTGCGCTGTAGTATAGACTTGCGCTGTAAGAGTAATAAACCTAGAAGATTGTAGAGTCGCTTAAGATTTAAATTTAGAAATAAAGTCTTACTAGAGAGACTACTAGCAAGATAGAATTATAGTAGACGTCTGCTTCTTTTGTTAGAAGAGAAGTAAAGTTAGGCACCTTAATTCTAGAGTAGGTTTGCGAGTGTACCGCGGGTACAGCAAACACTACTTAGTAAGCAAGTGCACAGACTACGCTATTAGTGATCTCTCACTAGTAAATCTATATGCCTATCTTACCTAGGTAAACATCACTTTGAAGGTTACTGCCTCCTACTAGAAGATATGCTAGCATTTTCTCCACTCTCGCAAAATTGCGAGACTATTCAAGTTTGGCCCTTTCTATACCTGAACGTAGCCTCTACATGCTAGATTCACATACTAAGAGCTAGCGCGTGCAACATCTTATGGCAGATTGCTCTCAATAAAGACGCGCAGTGCGATTCTCTCGCATGCTCGTGTCTTCAATGTTCGTGAACGCCCTGTGATGCGCTAATCTGAATGTAGCGCGGCCGTAGTGGTTTATCGCTATCTTAGCGCCATCAGCCCTCCAAAAAAAGTTTGGCCGCAACTCAAGCCTCTGAGCGGAGACATCGTCGCAACACATCATAGCAAATCATGGCATCGGACGCGCAAAACAACCCCTTTATAAGGAATCTCGCCTCTAGCGGTACGCATAGTTTGTGATTGGAAAACCTCAGATCACCAAGCTAACGTTTGCGACAGACAAGAAGGTTCGCGATGAAGCACTCAACTCACTCAAAACCTACCTTGGCGCGCAATCAGAGATATCGGAATTGGACCTACTGAAACTATGGAAGGGACTGTTTTATTGTATGCGCTTTTCATACTTCGCCTCGTAATGATACGAGAGCTTCGCAACCAATATCGCAAGAACTAACAAGATACTCCTAGGCCTATGGATGCAAGACAAACCCGCCCTCCAGCAAGGCCTATCGCGCGACCTCGCCTCTATAGTCTCGAGCCTCCGAACGCCCGTCGTACTGCCCTTCGTCCGCGCTTTCTTCCTCACCATGTCCCGCGAATGGACTCATATTGAGGCGCTGCGATTAGACAAGTACCTCTACCTTATCCGCCAATACCTCAATGCGTCCTTCAAATTTCTGAGCAAAAACAAGTGGAAGAAGAGTTTGCTAGAGCAATGGAATGCCGTCATGGAGGAGATACCCCTGGAATGCCAGAATATGAGAATTCCAAATGGATTGAGATACCACGTCATGGATGTTTGGGTCGATGAGATGGAGAAGGTCGAGGGAGAGGCATGGGAGAAAGAAGACAAAAAAGAGACATTGGAGACGCTGGTGCTGCCTGTTGAGAAGATGGCCAAGGATGGCAAACTGAAGCCGCTGAGAAACGCGGCGAAAGAGTGTTTAGCTGATGATAGGATAAGAGCATGGAGAGGGCAGGAACTGGAGGAGGCCATGGAGGATGCCGAAGAGGAGGAGGATTCGGAGGCAGAGTGGGGAGGCTTCGCAGACTAAGAAGCATGGCTCTATGTGAAAACCTGGGAAGACACATTGCATATGATTTCAGCGAGGCGTTTATGGAAGATTTGTTCTGCATGTAGGACATGGAAAAGTGTGATAGCATGAAAGGTATTCTACAATCCGCAGAGGCTCCCGAGACCACATTCAGAAACAGGACGTTGGCCTTCATGGCGCAGTCTCTCGCAACCACTCTCATCTTCTCAGTCTTCGCGCGTATTGATAGCACCATCTGGATCAAATTAGCTGGCATCCTCACAGCACAATGTAGCAGATACTCACATCCACCGCTGCTCCTTGCACTACCGTTAGTCTTCCCCTCTTCTGTGTACTTTCCTAGCAAATCTGGCCGAACGAAAAGCACATACAATCTCCAGAAAAGCGGCGGTACCAAACACGCCACACTAGCCGCAGCAACCCCCTTGCTTAGCGCTGCATTTGGCCCTCCTCCTTCTATCAAATCCAATACTATCATGGGGATCAACACCGCTTCTCCAAGCCCCAGGAGCATATACGTGGGTCGTCGACTCTCGATACCATTGCGCGTGTTGGTCGCGCCCGCAAGCAAGGCGGACGTCAGACCGCCTACGACCAATCCGCCGAAAAGACGGGCGAAAAGGATCGAAGTGGGGTTGATATCGCGAGAGGGGTTGTTTAGAAGGAGGGATAGCGTCCAGCTTGTGTTTGTTATTAGTGGTATGGTGAAGAGGTTTGCGAAGGCTTCTAAGAGGAAGGCTTTGCGGACTGTGGAACCATTCTGAGATGGGTCGGGTGTGATGTTTGGATTTGTGGCAGGGGATTTTGTGGTCGGCATCTCGGTGGTTGAATAGGTGTCTCGAGTCGAATTGCTGAGGAGTCGCAGGTATGAACAGAATATAGCAATCAGATATGTAGTATGTCATTGCCGTAGTTGATGTTCTAGCCTACTCATCTGGTATGACGAGTACAGACGTCATCACTTATTCGAGGGACAACAACCATCACCTCAACCAAGTGATCATAGCAAGAAACTAGCCAATCTTGTTTCAGATGTATCGTCTTTTTCTGGCTCGATGCAGGTCTGCGAGATGTATATGCATGCAGGGCGGACTGCACCCTGGCTAGTCGCGTCTCTAGTCAGGAACATGTACACGATCAGGTAACACCAGATCCGTAGCCTGCAGAACCACATCGCGACTTCGATGCTCCATCTGCGCGCTTCTGGTATCGTTCCTTCAGTAAGAGGCACGACTTCAGTTCATGCCATGTATCTTGAACCACTTTGTAGACTACTCTAAGATCGGGTAGCTTCACCACTTTCATCGCGGGCAGATGATATAGGAACCTGGAGATTATCCCTGATCGTCATTATTGGGTATAGATATCCATCTGGTTGATGCAGCGATGATGGAAGTGAGAGACGGAAATGATGTCAGATCTGGGGTAGGGCTGGCGGGAACGCTAATTTCGTTGACACAGCGTCCAACCATGGCGCACTTCAGCATTCTTGGACCGCCGGCTACTGACCGCCAAATACTTCCGGCAGTAATATTCCGTCGCCCACCACATTATTGAAGCGTGCAACTTCTGGGCCCATCATGGGTCGACGACCCAACCAATTGATCCTCGAGTACTTCGAGCGCGGTCCCAAGCTGGAAGATGCAAGTAATCGCTACCAACACACGTGCAAGTCGTGCGGTGAGAAGGTGAGCAACCCCGCCCTGGAAAAGTTGACGACGATAGCTGATGGAAAACAGTTTCCTAAAGGTCGCATAGATAGCCTCACGAATCATCTCGTTAAGAAATGTCCCGCGCTACCTCTCCAGGACCGCCAGCGCGCGCTGCTGCAGATGCACGAGCTGCCTCTCCCCGACAATATGACACAGGCGGCCAGTCCAAACGCACCGGGACCGAGCCAAATGCAGCATGGCCAGAAAATGAACCTTCCTTTTGCGCCTTCCAAGCAGCTCTCAGCACTGGAGACGCTGGCCGAGGTGTCGCGACAGCATCTGGACCTCTCTGGGAAGCGCATGGCGGAGAAGCAGCCTTCACAACCACAGAACAACCATAATCACAACCACAACCACAACCATAACCACAATAACAATGCAAGTCATGCAGGGCTGTTGGATGAGTTTCTGATACAGGATGATCGGCCCGATGGCTCTGATATGGGTGGTCTATCACATGGTATGGATATGTCGCATGCGCCAGCGATGCCATCCATGTACCAGTTCAATGGGCCTTTACATCATTCACCAACCGCCTCACCTCATATAGGCCACATGCCTCTGGGAAGCTCTGGGTCAATGTCGCATATGGTCCCCTCGCTCGTTATGGCAGCATCGGCTGCAAACGATCTCATGCCACTGTCAAACGGCATGCCCATGGAATCAGACATGAACCTGTCGGCACATGGGATGCAAGGCATGTCGGACGGGAAGTTCTTCCATCCGCAAGGACGCCATCACTGGCCCAACATACAGCCCAACTCGCTCGACCCGATGCTACAGGACCATGGCAAGGAGCAGATGCACGCAAACGACCAGCTGAACAAAGGCATGGGCCAGCAACGGCCGCTTGCAATGAGTCCAGGTAACCAGACCCACTTCACCACCGACTTTAGCATGAACCAAAAACCAGTGAAACCCAAGGTCAGGGGTCGTTTCACTGACTCCAGGCGAAAAGAAGTCCAGGAGGTGCGAAAGCGAGGCGCGTGCATTCGGTGTCGCATGCTCAAGAAGCCGTGCTCAGGCGATAACCCGTGCAATACCTGTCAGAATGTCGAGAGCGCGCGATTATGGAAGCAGCCGTGTATCAGGACAAGGATCGCAGAGGAGTTCGGTCTCTACTCTGCAGGACTCCATAGTGTGTTGGCATTCCATGCAACGAACCAAGCCAAAGGTCAGATACGACTCGATCAGACACCAGGACGCATAGAAGCAACCCACTTTCCTCATTCCGGCATATTTGCTACATTCACACCGCTGAAGTGTCAGCAGACGCAAATAGCACAGAATACGGATATCGATCCTGCGATCTTCGCCGGCCTAGCTTCTCCGGATCTGGAGCTGATAGATAGTGATGACGATGTCAGTGGGAAGCTAGACCATTACATCAAGAAGATGGGTGGCCAGTTTTCTGATACCGAAGATTCGAATTTCATGAGGATGACGGTGAATGTCGCAAAGAGCGTTGCATCAACAAGCGCAGACGGACTCATATCAAAGGCACTGGAGCTATGGAACCTTACACGCGTACTCACATCCCGGAACTTTGAATGGTACTTGTTCTCGAACCCTTCCTTGGCACCCACCATCACTCCGTCCACTTTGGCGCCAGCAGATTTGGAGGACGCTATCCGTACACCCATTACACCTCTCGATCACGAATCGTCCTACAATCTCATCACCATGCAACTCATGGGAGCGACTGAAAAGCGTGCCGCATGTCTAGCCCGTGTGGTGATGAACGATCTCGAACGCCGCCTCCTCCAACGTCAACAAGCCAACCCCTTTGAGACCTTCCTAGTCGCCGTAATCCTCCTCGCCTGTGTAGAGCGCATGTGCTGGCTCTTCCGCTCCTGGGATCTGCCGTCTACCACCCCATCTGCCCCAGAAGCTGACGGAGACGCATTCAAACAACCAGCCCCTGTCGACAACGACATCGCTACAGCCCTTCAATCCACTTCTTCGCCGTCTGCGCCTACGTTGGATATCTCTTCTCACCAAGCACCCCGAAACCCCAGGTGGCCACTTGATAAATCCCCATCGACGTTCTCTCAGCAAGGCGAGAAGTTTAGCGATATACTCAACATGCTGCTTAAGATGCGGGGTGTCCCTCCCAAGCCCACGCCCCGTAGCCCAGACGGCGTTTTGTCAGTGTGGGGTGAAGACAGCAACAACGATAGAGTACGGGAATGGTACGACGGCATCGCCGTTACGATGCAAATGCTAGATCAGAAGACAAATGCGAGGTTTGTGGGCGAAGATCCCAAGGAATGGGAATTGAAGTTTGTTAGCAAGATTATACGAGGTGATTAGGAGCTGTTTCATTATGCTGGGGGTATTAGCCTCTTGTTGTGGATGCATGTATGGGAAGAGATGGATATACAGAGTGTTGTCATGATGGATGGGTGGGTGGATGACTGAATTATGAAACGACTTGATACCAAAAAGTTATAAGGCATGTAGTTTGACATGATCGTGTTCGCGCTTCGGCGCCTGAATGAAGAATTGTTGTTGTCACACAAATTTCTTAGTTGATGTATCGACTATTTGGCATGAGTAAATGGATTGTGATATGGTGACCACTATTTAGACATGGGGATATGCAAGGGCCTCTCCCTATACGCCATAACGCCGCATAAACGAAACATGCATGCTGTGTACAACAAGTTGGTTCAAAGGTAACAGAATGTATGACTCGCTCAGCTCTTGAGCGCCTCAAGCCGTCCCCGCATCTGGGCGAGCATTTCGGCCTGATCGTCTTCTTCCTCCTCCTCCTCAGCTTGTGGCGCACTAGGTAGTTCTTCCTCCTTGGCTTTACTCGGCGGTAACCTATCCTTGAGCACCTCACTCAACACCTTGTCAACCTCCTCCTCGGCTTCATCAGCCTCACCCTCCAACATCTCGTTCTCGCCCAACGTGTCATCCAGCATCTCCTCTATGATACCCGCCTTCATCAGCTCAGAGCTTAGCTCCCGCATTGTGCCCGTCAGTTCTGGCAATCGCACCAGACTGTTTACATCCTTCATGATGCCTGTGCTCGCCTTGATGCTGCCTTCGATTTTACGCACCGAGAAGGCTTCGTTGACTTGCATCTGCACGCTATTGAGCTGCGCCTTGGACGTCATGAGCCGATTGTTTTGTTTCCGTACGCGGATGAGTTCGCGGGCGAAGATGCGCACGTCTTGGTTGGCTTGCTTTGCCATGGAAGGATTGCGTTGGGCGCGTTTGGAGGATTGTTGGATCAGCGTTTTGGTTTTTTGCTCCGTGGCTTTGAGCTGTTGGATGTCGCGGTCGAGTTTGCGGACATTTTGGCGGACGAGGGCGTTGCATTTACGCTTCTATAGACTTGTTAGAGGGTTGGACAGCATGGCTAAAGATAAGACAATGTACCTGCTCCTCAGGTGTGGGCTTCCACAGGAGACCCCTGATGGTCTCCATAATGGGCGCTCAGTGTGGTGTACTCTGAACGTCTGAGCAAGTCGATGCCCAGGTGTCGTTGATGTATGCGCGATTTGGTGCGGATACAGCGGGAGTCGGTGAGGGCGTGTGCAGCGCGTGTGGATTTCCAAGCGTATCAGATTGCTCGAGTTGTATTCAGGCGATTAGCGAGTGGTGGGTAAGAGGTAAAGTGGTGGCAGCAAGGTGAGTTGCGATGTCATGTGCATGTCCAAGGGTCCCGAGGTGTTGTGGTAGCGGTGCCTTGCAACGGCTCCAGGATCGAGCTCGGGCCCATTGTGACGTTGAGCTCCTTCGCGGGGCAGTTGCAACCCACTAGCCTCAAGCATCGAGCCCTGGAGGATTGCCAGCCAACGCAACATTGGCAGAGGCAATCAAGCGCATCTAAGACACCTATAGAATCTCCAGCTGCATATCCCTAAGAGTTGCTTTCCGTAATTGATCGACCAAAACCGGGGCGTTCAACTTCAAGATTCCATAGAGCTTCTATTGCTTTCCACGCTAGTCCCTCCACATCACTGCATTTCTTCCGCCTTCAATCTGCTCGTCTAGCCAAACACTACATTACAACTACACAACAGACGCCTCATACAACCACTTCTACATCCCGAGCAACCCTTCAAACTCGATTAGAAACAACACGAGAGAGTTCTCACCCTCAACATGACCACTGTCACTCCCGAAGGTAAGCTGCAGCCTTGCCCCCTACGCGAGCTCTTTAGATGCTATCGGAGCACTACACATGGCCGTTCGCCCGCGTTCAACGCAAGGGCCTACGTACATCTTGAATCGCCTACTCGCGACAGACAGAAAAGCATCAGCAGAGCATGTACAAACCATACTCAACAGATACTGACGCGCGACAGTTACCTGGGCGCAACGCTCATCCAGCGACGACCCCGAGAAGAACTACGTATACCTCACCATCGTCGCCGCCGATGTCCCCGAGTCAGACCTCAAGTTGGACCTCAAGGAGCAGTCACTTAGCTTCAAGGGTACCTCAACATCCAAGAAGGTCACATACGCCATCGACCTTGAGTTCTTCGCCGAGATCGACCCTAAGGAGTCCAAGATCAGCCACAGCGGACGCGACGTCACAATGGTACTGCGCAAGAAGGAACTCAAGGAGGAGTACTGGCCTCGCCTGCTCAAGGACAACAAGAAGATGCACTTCCTGAAGACCAACTTCGACAAGGTAAGCCGCGCGACACCAGATGAATTAAGAGCGATACACTAACTCATCACAGTGGGTTGACGAGGACGAGCAAGACGAGGCACCCGAGGACGAGTCCATGAACCAGATGAACCCAATGGGCGCTGGCGGTATGGGCGGCGGTGACGGTGGCTTCGGCGGCATCGACTTCAGCAAGCTCGGCGCAGGCGGTGGCGGCGGTATGCCAGGAATGGAAGGCATGGACATGGCCAGCATGATGCAGAGCATGGGCGGTGCCGGTGGAATGCCCGGCATGGGAGGCATGGGCGGAGAGGACAGCGACGACGATGATGACGACATGCCCGAGCTTGAGAACGACGAGGACAGCAAGGACAAGGCAGCACCATCAGGCGACAAGCCCAAGATTGAGGAGGTTGCGTAGTTGCTCCATCTTCTCGCGACAAGCTTATGACTGCAAGAGATTGATTGGGTGGCGCGCATGACTGGCCGGCGTTACTGCTCGATCTTCTGGGGGTAGGGTTTGGAGTCTGATACCTGACCGAGGATGGGAGATGGTTGCATCTATAGGTCGCTGCGTATTTCCGAGTCCGTCCTAAGTGTGCTATTGCAGGTAATGATCACATCATGGAGTATATGACAAAAGAATACGAATCATGTTTTCATGGCTGAAACAAATTTCAGAATGTTTGACAGTCTGATGTGGTGGTTGTATCATCTATTGGGTATCTTCTCTGTATGCTAGATCTCTATTTCACCGTCTTTTAGACCAACATAGGCGTTCCTTGAAAGCCTCATGACTTAGTACCCATACCGTAGCTATCATATGGAAAGTCCTCTAGGCTCTTGTGGAATCTCCCCCATCCATCGTCGATCTCTCCTGGCATCCCAACCCTTCTCTTGCCTTGCGCAACGTCGACTTCAGTCTTTTGCAACTGCTCCTCCTCGTCCTCCTTGTGTTCCCCCGTCAATCCCGCCAACACCTCCTTCTCTCTCCCCTTATACTCCTCAAGCAGCCCAGGATGCGGACACCAAACCACCTGCATACCTGCTCTCCTTCCCGACTCTACGCCCGGCACGCTGTCTTCGAATACAAGGCATTCCTCTGGTTTTATGGGTGTCTGGCCCTGCTCCTCAAGCGTCTTGTTCAACGTAGATAGGGCTAATAGGTAGATGTCCGGCGCGGGTTTCCCTCGTCCAGCAGGTATCCTAGGGTCATCACCCAACACTTGATGTTCCTTTTTGAAATTCCCATCAAACAGATCCTTCATACGCGCAGTCTTGATTTCGAACATGGCCTTTTGACTGCTCGTCGCGAGCGCCATGTGTACGCCCCTGCTCTTCAATCCTGCCAGCAAGTCCACAACACCAGGCAATGGCTTACATTTTTCGAACAAGTTTGTCTGGAGTTCTTTTTGCTCTTTCAAGAATTGCTCGTGAGATATGGGAAGTTGCGCCCACTCATGGAAGATCTTGCCTGCCTGCGGGCCAGGGCGACCTTGGAGCTGTGCTTTTATGGACCATGGCAGGGGAGGGCGGCCGTAGCGTTCGAGGATTGTGTTTGTTACAATGCTGTAGAGGTCTTCGGAGTCGATTAAAAGACCTGAATGTGTTAAAACTCATGGAAGGGACCAGAGTAGTTGCTTCATTACCATCCATGTCGAAGAGCGCTGCCCGGATGCGGGGTGGTGGGGTTGTACTACATAAGACTTAGTATAATATTGTGTTGATTCCAAGGTTGATACATACGTAGAGCTCATCTTGGAAGTTGTTTGAAAAGATGTAGGTAGAAATCTGGGTATTAAAGATTCTTGTAAAGATTCAATGGAGGATTGTAGAAAGTTGGGGTTGCCTGGATGTTTACCCCACGTGGCCGAGGCACGCTAATCGGACCTCGACAGACGTCACTTCGGAAACAGATCTACCTTTTCTGCACACGCGCACCCGCACGTAAACTTTGGTAGAACACGCGACCATGGCATCACAGGACGAAACGGTGGTAAAATCAAGTACAGCCGTAGCCGAAATCGCGACACCAGAAATCTTTCCGCCAGATGAAGAAAAAAAGCTGCTGGACGAGTCGAACACGGAGAAAGCTTCCGCGAACAAAACATTCACATCTGGCGAATACAACGGCGCGATACAAGGCTATGAAAAGGCGCTAGCAGTATGCCCTTCTTACCTTGAATACGATATTGCCGTCCTCCGTTCCAACATTGCAGCTTGCCACCTAAAGTTGGAAGAGTGGAAGCAAGCCGTAGAATCTGCGACCCAAGCTCTGGAAGCGTTGGACCGGATAGATCCTCCACCACAGAAAGATGAAGGGAAAGAAGTAACAGGCGGTGGCGCAATTGCTGAAATAGACGATACAACCGAACTCTACCTCGACGCCCTCACCCGAACCAACCATACGATAAACGACGTCCACAAACTCCGCACGAAAGCACTCCTACGTCGCGCAAAAGCACGCCATGAAGTTGGTGGCTGGGCGTCTCTACAAGGATCATTGGAAGACTACCAAGCCCTTTCCAAGGCGCCTCACCAGCTCTCGAGCCTGGACCAGAAAGCTGTACAGGCAGCGTTGAGGAAGTTGCCGGGGCAGCTGGAAGAGGCGAAGAATACGGAGATGGCGGATATGATGGGCAAGTTGAAACAGCTCGGTAATGGCATACTGAAGCCGTTTGGATTGAGCACGGATAATTTCCAGTTCACGAAAGATGAGAAGAGTGGGGGATATAGTATGAACTTCAACCAGGGTGGGAAGTAGACGATATCCAAGACACAATGTTACGCTTTGGTAGCCGCTGAAGCTCAGTCATGCCCAAGGTCTCCCTCATTGCATATGAGGCCCAATACAATCTATGGGAGTACCGGAACCACTTGGAGAACGGACTACAACCACGAACTGTGCTGATTCCCTGGCATTTTACGTCATTAGATTGTCTGTCTATCCGATTCAATGAAGAGACTACTGACCATTCGAGTCCCTTACAACGCGGTACGCCCTACCCTGTTGAGGATCCCACCAATCTTTACTCCAAAGTTGGGCTAAGGTCAAAACATCAGTAGAAGACTCTTCTTCTTCAACCATGTGAAACGTACTGATATTGTCATAATAATCACGATAAAACTGACCTGTCACCTGGTCTCGTTGCCATCCTGTTGGTGGGTACCATACTTGTGCTTGTCGTTGCTGAACGTAATTGAAATTATGGTTGTAGTTGATCTGCTGGTGGTAGTGTACTTGCTGCGGTGGATTTACCGGCTGCGGTTGGTTTACTTGCACCAGTAGCAGCAAGTGGTTTTCTACTCTCTCGCCTTGTATTCGCTCTGCTTGTCCGGCTCTATTTCTGTCGTTGCGCTGATGGCTTTGGATCTCTTGCAGCCTTGTCAATCGTTGGAAGGTGTTACTACCAGATCACCCATACTTACCTCTGACGCCAACCACTTGGAGGGAAGTGCTCTCGTCGATCGAGTTATTTTCAGCTGTGGGAATCTCCATCGTCGTAGATTTTGTGGCTTTACAGGTTAGTGTAAGCTCAAAATCGCGCAAGTTCGTGAAGCATCCAAGGCTGAAGTATCCTAAAGATAGGGTAGTGATCATTAGGCCGGAAAGCTATTGGTCTGAAAGTGCATCACTTGACCAAGCTTGCTGACTGCATGGCTACTTGCAAGGCTGAGTTAATGCTTGGCATCTCGAGGAAGGCTGAAATACGTCCCCTAGGTGCTTTCTTGTGGCTCCAACCTATTTCCTACAAAATCCTGCCATGACCGAGATTATACCTGGGCGGATCCAAAATGGTTATCCCGGACTTGCGAAACTGTTGGCACAAGATTTAAACGAATGGTCAGGAATCTTCAAGCAGTTCGCTGAGCTCAACGTCCGCAACTTGCTGTATATGCAGGCTGAACTTCTTTGTTTAGAACAAGAACTCGAGGCTATCACTCATGTTGATGAGAATGGAAATGATCCGACCACGAAGAACTTCGCCAGAAGTGTATGGGAGATGAAGAAAGCGCCCAACAGCCCGCAGTGGGACAAGATCCTTGAGATCAGAAAGAAGCTAAGGGAATACAGTATGATCTAACTCTATCCCGCACTATTTGTTATACGACTCACACGTCTGCAGACGATTGTTTGCTCCAACAAGCCCGCGTTTCAAAGCTGGATCGAGCCCAAGTCTCCGATTCGAGATGGTTGAGATACTGGTTACAGCACAATGAAGGTGGTAGAGACTTCCTCAAAGGATGCGAACACCGGGCGTATGACGAATTGGAGCAGCCAGATCTTATCGTTGTGTCAAACAAGTCTTCTGATGACAAGTTCTTACAGTGGCTAGAGCTGAGCTTAGTACCTCGCCTTCCCAACATCATATACGATCTTCTCGTAGTAAGCTTCACATCTGCAAGGAGATCTGTCATACTGACAAGTTTGTAATAGGAACCGATAGTCGGATCAGAGAGGCTAGTCAGTCGCATCAAGCTTGGAATCCTACGAAAAATCGCTCGAGCTCTGGTTATTGTATTGTCTGCCATCTTGCCATTTACAGCCATTGTCGCACTGTATTTCATAGAAAATCTTCGGCATAGGATCGCTATGATTGCTGTGTTCTCAGGAGTATTTGCCTTGGTCTTGACTATCTTCACGACGGCCCGTCCTGTTGAGATATTTGCAGCCACTGCGGCGTGAGTCTATTGTCTTGAGTACAGGTAACGTGGCTAACGAATCTAGGTTCACTTCGGTGCAGGTAGTTTTCGTCGGTGGAACTAGTATCGAAGGCGGGCAATGTCAGTGCGCTTCTTAGCAGCACTTTGAGCTTGATGAACCTACATGTGCAACAAGATACCGGATCCTTCCTCTCTCTGACGCACATCAATTACGTTTTTCTCAACGGTACACGATTGACGTGGTGGGCGACATTGCAGAGTACTTCGATGAAAGCCAGCCGCAAGAAGTCCAATCAGGCCCCTCACAGTTTACCGCAACAAAAGCCGAACCATTCTAAGTTCGTTTTGGCTCGGGTACGGAACATGTCGTCGTTGAAGTGCATCGTTTGAATGAACAAACCCATTCGTCACTGGCTTCGTTCCTGACCATCACTAGCCACACCACTGCGTACCTGCGTCGAACAAGATCCTCAGCACATAGACTTATTGTGGAGCAATTGCGGTATCCTTCCACTCACAGAATGACACGTCTCAAGGCTTATACAGGTCTGAAATCGGTCCCAGGAAAGGTACACACAAATACAGCCATAGGTTCCCACGTGCCAGAGACCTGACGATCCGATCCCGAACCACCCTAAGAAGGAGATAGTATCCTGTCTTCAGTGGGTCAAGAACTGATCCCTTAATTAACCCAATGTCGCCTCTCTTTGGTCAGTCATTCATTACGAACGATCTCCTGACAAAGGGGTACTCAAGACAAACTTGCATTCAAATACTGAAAAGCATAGTGTAGTCTCGTCGTTGGGTAGTGTATCGACCACAATCAATCCAGCCTCACAGACGATGAGCGGTGACGGTACCTCCGTCATGAGTGCGATGACAAGTCTCGTGATCAAGTCAAAAGACACCAGAGCCACGTCATTCAGCGAAGGCGAAGTGAAGTCTGCCGCGTGCGGAACGAGAGACTTCGAGGCTGACTCCGTCTACCCGGATGATGACCCTGCTGCTGATTCGATCTTCATCAGACCAGTCCCGTGGCACATGGTAGTGCGGCCTGAGTACACGGCTGTGTACCCGGTGGTAGCGCTTGCCAGAAAAACGGACTGTACGTTTGGAATTACCTCTTGACTAGTACATCGGGAGCGATACGATTGGACGGCGGTGAGCTTACTTTGTGATTATCGTGCAGCTATATGCGATAGCGTCTTGTCACCTTGTTGTAGCGTCGACACGTAGGTATCGCGAAATCTGGTACCTGAAAAAAGTAATCATAGATGTGTACATCGTGTAATCCGCGAGATACGTCAGTAGAGCGACAGCTTCCCTATTAAATCAGCATGTTGCGCACGGTTGTGATGTCTTTACACATACTACAAGTCCTGTCATCCATCATATCTCAATCAAAGCTCTTCCTTAACAGTGACTCTGGTCTCACTGTACCACCATAAACTCTTTGCGACACCGGCGTTAAGATGTACACAACAATTCTAGAATGGTTATGGGGTATCCCCAGCACAACGACCGACGGAAAAACATACGACGATCAAGGCATACCATACGTTCAACTCAACGAAGAATACGATTCAAATGTTGAGCAATCATGGACCAACGACCCAAAGAAGTTATATCTTTCTGCTTGCTTCGATCCAAAAGACGAAGTAAACGTAGCGAACGATTACAACATTGATGGTCTCTGTCCGGTAGTCAAAGAAACCAAGGGCGACGAATTTATATTGCGAGACGACAAGGGTCGATGGTATCTCTGGGATGCATGGGTTGGTGAGTTGATGAAGTTCAGAGATTGGTGGATCGAAGGCTTCACAACAAAGGAAGAGTTAGTGGAGAATCTTGTTTGCAATATGACCGAGGCGCAAGCGGACGTGGAATTCATCGAAAGAAAGCGTAGAGACAGTGTGGTAGACTAGTTGGACCCTGCAGATTGTAGTTGTCTTGAAGATCGGATCGAGAATGCAAAGTGGAGGTTGGGAGAAGGATTGTAGTCTAAACTTTAGCGACGTCGGGAGCCAATGAAGAATTGAGACCCTGACCCACCATTTTCTGCCCCATTTTCCTGGTCCGTGACTCCTCCGCTTTGGACTACCAGCGATAAAAGCGACGACTGAGTGATGATCGACGCCTGTCATGCCGATACCTGACTGAGACGCGTCTTACACAGAAGGGTTCCGCTAGCCTCAAATTTTCATTATCAAACAACAACATGCCTCAGTATCTCGTAAGGCTTGCGCAAGCACACGAGACTTTCCGGAAAGTCGAACTGCAAGCGCTAGCCGATATTGCAGGAGTGCCTCTACAGTTTGTAAAATATGAAGAAGATGTAAGTTCACGTTCCTTATCACGCATTCCTCCTTCCTCGCCTTCGTCCGTCATGTCTTCTCCACTGTTTGTTTTGGTCACGTCTCGGAAAAAGAAAAGCCAGTGTCGCGTCACGCTGTCCAAAAGCATACATTTCTGACGAACAAAGTCACCCTACTGCATTGTCGATCTGCCGTCAGACGCTGCGGCACGAAGAGTCATCGCACGGAGCATCCTAGCACAGGGCATATACGAGCTATGGGGCCAAGGATCAACATACGACGCCCTTCACGACTCCGTCCGCAGTCTGACCACGTCCTGGTGGCCCCAGTACATTACCGCATCTTTCCGCTTTACGATAGAAGGCTATCGAGGGAGTAGATCGAATGATGAACAGCGCGACATCATTGACAGCTTCTCGTACATGGCTTTCAAAGGGACACCACAGATGCGAAACCCAGATGCCGCGTTCCGTGTCTTCGAAGATTACGATCTTAATTGTAAAACCCCAAAGTACCTTTACTTTGGCCGCTTTATTGCCGAGTCATGTCGCAATGAAGCCAAGAAGACGTTTGATCTCAAGAAAAGGCATTACATCAGCACTACATCCATGGACGCCGAGCTTACACTGTTGACGGCTAATATCGCACACGTGTCACCCGGGAAGTTGTTTTACGACCCTTTTATGGGCACGGGCGGCTTCCCGATAGCATGCGCTCACTTCGGAGCAGTGGTGTTTGGAAGTGACATCGACGGCCGCACCATCCGCGGCCTTGGAGGAAGCGCAAGGAGGGGACAGACTGGAAAATATGACGTGGTCGGCAACTTCAAGCAGTATGATATGGAGTCGAGTTATCTGGGCGCGTTCGTTTCTGATCTGACAAACACACCACTGAGAATACCGCCACCTGAGAAAGGCATTACGACAGGCTATCTCGATGGTATCGTCTGTGACCCACCTTACGGTATCCGAGAAGGACTCAAGGTTCTGGGATCTCGGCAAGCGCTTCTTGACGTCGAGAGGCAATCTCACCAAGACCAGTTCAAGGAGCCCGGATACATACCTCCGAAGCGGCCTTACTCCTTCACCGCGCTGCTCGATGACATACTAGCCTTTGCAGTCGCTACGCTAGTGGAAGATGGTCGAATCAGCATGTGGATGCCAACTGCGAATGACGAGGACATCGAGCTGATTATACCGTCACATCCCTGTCTCGAACTGACATCAGTCTGCGTCCAAGCCTTCAACAAGTGGTCACGCAGACTACTGACGTATCGACGGCGCCGTGATTCGGAGGTGCCTGAGGGTGCGCTTGAGATGGCTAAGAAAGAGTATGAGAAAGGCACCAGGGCAAGTGAGTTGAACGACTTCCGAAGAAAATATTTCCAGGGGTTCAAAGAGTTTGAGAGTATGAAGAAGGAGTTTATTAGGATGAAGGTGGAGTCTAAAAGCAGTGGAGAGGCGCCTAGTACTGCAGAGGCGGCTAATGCTGTGAAGGAGGATGATACCAAAACATAGATACTGTGTGCCTTAGCTGCACACTCAAAAGCCATCATGACTAGATTTGCTCCAACATGAACGTATGATAATCACCGTCACTGACGGTCATAACTAAGGCCCTACTGGATCCTGTCGCGAGCTCACTTCTTCTCGTCTCGCTCAACTCTAGCCCCCCACTTCCCATTCTCTTTCTCCAAAATCATCTTCCTACTAAGCTTCGTAAATGTTAGTCGATCTTTGTTCTTCTCGAACCACGCTACACCTTTGGGAGTGTTCGACATAGCCAGCACATCCGACTCCGCAATCACAGTCATACCGGCCCCAACGGCAAGTATCCCAGCAAGCAACACTGGCCGCATACTGGATCTCGCGACCCTACTAAGCATGTGTTGTGGAAGGCGGTTGATGATAGGCACCGTCGGCGTCGGAGGCAGTAGAATAGGAGTAGATTCGATTGGAGTGTCGAACATGGTGTTAAATCGTCGAGGCTGCGCGCTGCGAGTGTAGGGCTTCATGACTGATACATGTCGTAGGAGACTTGATGGAAATGGCATGGTTCTGAGTTCTCTAACTCGTATGTCGGTCGCAGTGAGACTAGAGAAAGAAAGAGAGGAAGGGGAAAAGGTTTGAGTACAAAAGAGGAGGAGAATAGATGAGCATTGTGTGCTAGTATGTAGAAGGCTGCCGATGGTGAATACAGGCTGGAGCACCAGCTTCAACCGACTCGCTATAGTATTTTCACTTGGTAGATTTGATATGACAGTATAGTGACTGTAGTAACTGCGTACGCCTCAGAAAGCAGCTGTCTCCTGATGTGGTGTCAAAGCAATTAGTTGCAGGTATTTACAGATGTATCTTTAAGTACCCTTCTTCTGAACTCTATCCTGTACGTCTCCCAGCCAGCACATTTTGCCTTTCCATTCTAGCTCGAATCGTCGCCGGCCAATGTGCACCTTCTCCGAATCTAGTGTAATGCCAACAATAGCACATGGTCACAAAGTCGAAACATTTGCCATCATTCTCTACGAGACCGGCGTTGTGTGGAAGCCGGGTCTGCACAATAGCGTCAATGACGTCTCCGAACGTTACCCCTTTCTGGTTCTGCAATGTAAAATGAGG